CTTCGGGAAAACCTTGATCTGCTTGCCGAAGTCAGAGAAGAAGCTCGGCTTCGAACTCTTGTATACAAGCAGAAGCTAGCCAACTTTTACAATAAACGGGTCCGCCCTCGCACATTCAAAATAGGAGACCTTGTTCTCAGAAAAGCTGGCTTAACGGGGTTTGAAACTCGTTTTGGCAAACTCACTCCAAATTGGGAAGGTTCTTATGCCGTGGCCGAAGTATCACATCCTGGTGCCTATATTCTCCAAGACGCTGAAGGAAAAAGAGTTCCTAGAGTCTGGAATGTCAATAATTTGAAAAAATTTTACCCCTGATGAAATTCTTCCAAGCAATCTATGTCTTACTGTTCTTTATGCTTCTCACTCCGTGTTTGTTAAGATTGATTTTATCTTTTTTTCCATGTATCCGAGGTTAATCAGTACTTACACCTCACTTCTGACTGATAAAAGTCACTTCACATGTGAAGTACTTTATTTCCTTTTAAGTTCGTTCACAATGATGTACTCATTCCTAATCTACATGGAAGTTATTTACTTCTTCTTACTTTGTCTGAAGTGACTTACTTCCCCTTAGTCCATTTGTGAAATGGTTGCCCTTCATCCAAATCACAATCTTAGTTCTTTTACTAATAAAAAATAATACCAAAAATGTAAAGCCAATATAAACAAACACATAATTTCAAACATAAATTTTCATTTCAATTAAAATAACGATTACAAGCTATAAATGTCTTTACAAAAAATTAAAAAATAAAATTAGTTCTCTGCTGGAGGAGGTGGCACCATTGGCTCCTATTCAGTTGGAAGAGGTGGCTGTCTTGGCTGCTACTCGTCTGGCAGAGGAGGCTGCTCATCGTTGGAGGGAACTGGATGAATCTCCACTTCTGGAACTGGTTGGCTCTCACCCACTTCAGTTCCCTCCACTCCCGCCTCCACCTCGTCTTCCTCTACCTCTGCCTCTTCTTCCTCCATTGCCACGAACTCGAAGTCGAACTGGGGAGGGAAAACAGCACGTCTGTTTGCATCGTCCTCCCACCTCAGTTTAATCTGAGGACGGAAGTCTGCTGACATGCTCTCCCCATCTTCCTCCACTCCTTCTTCTTGCTCTCCGAAGGTGATCTTTGTAATATCCACTTCGGGATATTCTGCCTTCACCTTCTTCCTGCAGTCCGTGAACGCGATGATGGCAGTAGGCAGCCGGTATAGGTTGACGATGTTGTCAAACGAGCTGGAGCTGATGAAGTTGCTGATGTGCTCCTTCATTCCATTGTGCACCAAAGTCTGCACATTCCCCTTCAGCTCCAGGAAAGCCTCCTTCGTCAGCTTCAGTTCTTGCACCTGAGCCTCACGCTCACTTTCAGAGATCTTTCGTTTGGTCTCTTCGAAGCCGAGCTTGGTGCTCAGAGAAGACCTCTCCTATTCCAACTGCTTCATAGTTGGAACCACCTTGTCTAGCGACTCTTGCAGATCTTTGTTTTTCTTCTCCAGTTCCTCCTTCTCCTTCTGCAGCTGGTCACACTGCCTCTGCAAGAGTGCGCGCTCATTCACCCCATCCCTGAACTCCTGGGCTAGACCATTCACCCAGCTCGCGCTCTGCAAATCAAAGCAGAAGTTCAAAAGGAAAGAAAAGAAGAGGAAATAGAATAAATAAACAGCAGCACTAACTTAACGTACCTCAAGAACGTGCTTCACAACGGATGCTCCCCCGTACCTCAGAGCCTCCTCCCGCGCGTTGCGCTTGTCCACTTCAGGGAAGGTGCTGTTGATGAACCACCTAGCCCCCATTACGTTCTTCACCTCGAACAGGCTGCTCTGAGACACCGCAGGGGAAACAGGGCCCTTCCCCTTACTAGGAGCTCGTACCTCAGCCCCCTCCTCCAACCGTCTGAGCTCGGGGTCCAGCTCAACAGGAGGAGGCTGAGGTACAAACTCAAGAACCCCACTCCCCTCCTCCTCCTCCACCACCCTCTACTTCTTCTGCAGTGCCCTCCTCTCCTCCCAGCCCTTCCTCTTCAACGCTGGCACATCCTCCTCCATCTCTGCTGAAGTCAAAGGCACCACCTCTTTCCCAGTCCTCCCCTCATCCACTTTCTTAGTTGAAGTCTTTGACTTCTTCCTTGGCTTCTTGGGGATGGGTGCTCCTCCAGCAGTGCTTAAAAGTTGGTCCATTTGAGCTGCAAAGCAAGAAACACAATATTAGTCACAATTTTATATTCTACAATTAACGCTACAGTGCATATTAAACAAACCTTCACTTAGAATGCTTGGCCCATAGAGCTCAGCAGCTTCTATACATGCTGCGCTGGTGAGGTCCATGATATTCAATTCCTCCCCCCTCTTCCTCACCAACTTCCTCACTTCTTCCTCCTCATCCCTATTTAAGCTAAACCTATTCTGGTTGGCCCTTTTGGCTTTCCAGGAAGCTAACGCCCTCACCTCGGCGTCCCCCTTCCCCCACTCAGTATCATCTACAAAAAAGAATTTTTCCTTCCATCCCTTAATGGATGAAGGACCCGCAGTAAATAAAATCCTACTCTCATTCTTAGCTACCCTAGGGGTGAAATAATACCACCCCTTATCCCTCCTACTTCCCCCCTTCAAAACAAAAAAATACTTAAACATATTTACAGTTGGCACACTAATCCCCTGAGCTTGGCAATAAACTAAAAAACCTATTATTACCCTCATTGCGTTAGGGACCAACTGTGTCAACCCTATGTTGTAATCTAACAGTAAACCTACTAGCAACTCGGGAATTGGAAACTTAAGCCCAGCATACAAATAATGGGAGTATACGGGCATCCAATGATCCCGAGGAGCAGAGCATGCCCTCTCCTCTACTCCAGCTGGCCTAACTAGCACTCGAGATGAGATTTCATAATTTTCTACTAAGTGACCCAAGCTATCCCTGGTCCTTAGTTCAGATCGGTACTGTTTCACCTCCTCCACTATCTCTGCATTCTCATCATAATCTCTCTCCCCTCTACCCTCTACTTCTACTACGGTAATGGGTATGCTATCTCCCCCAACCCCTACCACCTCATCTCCCCCAACCCTTACCACCTCATCTTCCCCAACCTCCACCACCTCATCTCCTCTCACCCCTTCAACCGTCTTCTCTGAACTAGATGGAGACGGACTACTCTCTGAGTCCATGCTCCCATAGTCCAGAGGCTCCACCTCACTCCCTACTACACTTC